CCCCAAAACCCCAAAACCCCAAAACCCCAAGAGTCAACTTTTATCATGAAATTAATTCAAATAATATAATTGCTGGCTTTCTAATTAAGAAAGATCAATTAATCTGGATTTTCAATTAATGTTTATTTTACCGAACCTTGCATTTAAATTCATTATGCTCCCATTATGCTCATCAATATCTTAAGTAAATTTGGGGAATCTTCTATCATCTTCAGTACCCATCATTGATTTACTCATTTCACTTCTATAGGTTTTATTAGGATTGTTATTCTAAGTAGACTCGTGTGAGAAGTGCATCTAAGAATTCTTGAAATCTAAGTTGCCGATGTTCTGAATATAATCCATAACCTCCTGATTTTGCTAAAGACCAATTAGCATATGATCCTTGCTCTTTTAGTCGTCCATAATTCCTAGTGGATTTGCCATAGACTTTGGAGTCTTATTTATCTGAGCTCTTATTCCTTTTAGGTTAAATTCATCAACGAAAATCTATTAATTCACCTATGAGGGACTTTTGGGAGAGTTAATATCAATTAAGGCTAGTTTGCTCACATCATTCTTAGGACTGGTTGCTTTTTGCAGATTAGTATTGCTGAAAAGTAGCTCCGTTACTGATTTTTTACGAAGTTGGGTGCAAGATTATTGCTGACTCAGACTAGAGGCTGATTTCAAATGAGTTCTGCTCTATTCTCTACTCATTGATATAGCTGCTAGCTATTGCATTCTACCCATATACTCTACATTCTAAGTTATTATTTTTACATCCTTGTGCAAGGGTTAGGTTTTTAGGAAAGATTAGTTCTTGCTACGATTTTTACTAGAATTTAATATGGGCTCATCAATTAGGAATTTCTTTTATTAGCTTCTTATTAGGTCTATATTGCTATGCTAATTTTAAGATTATTAAAAGGTTGTATTAAAGTTTTGCATCTTTGCCTTAGGCTAATTTGGTTAAAGATTTTTTTTCTATGCTTGTTATTTAGCTCTACTAAAGTTGCTCATGAAGTTACCTTTTCTTTGTCCAATTACTTAAGTATTTTTGCTATAGCTCAAATGATTTTCATCCTAGAGCCTGAAATCAGCATTCTTAAAGCTAACTCCATTCATTCTATGAGGCGATTCACTTACTTTGATATCAAAACCACTTATGTTGATATTGTCCTCCATTGACCTATCTCTATATATATTCCTCTTATGAGGAGAGGTCTTCTGTGAAGTCTATACATTGATATCTTTTACTTCTATAGTTTCACTCTCTTTTTTTATGAGCTCATTAATCTTTTAGCTTATTTGAATATGATCCATTTTAAAGGTTGAAGGGCCTCCCTTGAAGCAAATGTCATACAATCTTTGCTCATCAAAATATCTGTCGATTTCCTTTAAATTTCTATAGCTCATCTTATTCTGATTAGTGTTCTATGTACTATCAAAATTATTAGGTTTTAAGTTCTTGGCATCAAAACCAAATGATCGATTCAAGGCACCTTAAGGTGTGAAAACATTTTGGTTTATTATAGAAGTCGATGCCGGGGAAAAGAAGTCTTTATTTAGCCTGTTCTTCTAATTATTTAGGTTCTTGTACTTTGAGGGCAAGAATTTCTTCAGTAGCTATTATTAGAGTTTCACATCTTGCTCACTAAGAGTTGTGGTTTCTTGGTCGTTCTCACTGCTCATAGTTTTGGTGTTTAAATATTGCTATTTTATCATAGCAAGCCTGTTCTATGGAAGCTAAGAGTATGAAAATTCATTGATCAGGCCCTTCGAAGCAGCATCCTTTTCATGAAGGTACACACTCTTGATGTAACCCATTTTCTTTATGTCATTTGGGCCACTTATTCCGGTATAAACTCTTATGTCTAACTATGGATGAGATTCTTAAAGATTAGGTTGTTAAATGGTAGAGCATGAAATATGAATGAGACTTCCACTTCCTAGCAATCTGGTTGAGTTTATATTCTCATTATAGACTTAAAGGCTTTGCTTGTCCAGAGTATTTCTCTCTTAAATAGTATCTGCTTCCTTAATAACTATAGGGTCACTATGTTTTTTATTATAAGTTTGCATCCCCATGCTTCTCTTCTCATCGCTTACATTTTGAGATGTCATATTGATTCCTTGCAAAAGTGATTAACCTATCTCAGAATCTTGCTTCATGTCAAATCTGACGTTATTTCTGTAAAATGAATTTAAAACCTAACTCTTGACCTAATTTTCAAGTTAGCTCTTATATAATTGCTCTGAAAGCAAATCTGAATTAGAATTCAAGTTAAGTTCCATATCAGGATTTAAACCTGGATGATCTATCCTCTACTTTAACTCAATCATAAATTTTCTCTTTTCGTCATCTTCTTTCATCAAAGAGACTGAGTTTTCTCTGATTGATTGCTTATTCATGTGGTCTCTGTAGTAGTATCTAAACCTAACATTTGGATTATTGTCGAGTTTGCTTTTTATGTTTAGATTAGCTCTTTATGTCTTCAATGAAACTTGTTTCTCGTCGTGAATAAGATCATGCTTAATTCTAGCTCTACCAGCACTTTTCAAAGATCTTCTCGCCTTGTTATACCTTGACTAGTTCTTTGTGCTAAGCCCACTTTTACAAGTAGCATTGCCAGATTGGTGATTTATTGATTAAGGGCTTACTACTCTACTATTGCTCTAGTCTCTGTGCATTTGAGTTTAAAATACTTAGGTTTAGTTTAGTCCAAAATTCTTAAACTAATAGTTCTTCACTTTAATTGGGGACATAGCGTCTCCTTAAACATAAATGTTATGATCCAAAAGGTTGCTTTGAATTTCATTGATTGCATCCATTTATGATTACATATCGCTTACGCCCTCCTTATCAGACTAAACTAGCTCAGTAGAAGATGGATCATAGTTTCCCATGGTTTAATTCAACAGTGTATTCTTAGATTTAACCTTAATTTGCTTGAATTGATTGTTGCTATTACTGTGGTAGTTATTTACTACATCTTATCTTCTGTTCTTTGGATGCGCTGAGAATATCTTTTTTCTGAGTGATTTAGGTGGCTCGTACTTTGTTACTTTTGGCATCTACAGGTCATCGTTTAAGCTTGTATCATTATCCTCACTTTAAGGAAGATCGAGGTTGACTTAAGGTGCATTTTTCCATTAAGTCTCTTGAAATATCACAGTAGTGTTGTTACTTTAGGGGGAAAGTAGAACATTAACATTTTTATCCGTGTTTGTCTAAGATGACTAAATGTTATTCCTAGCTGAATTTTAAGTTATTACTTGAGGAGACTATATAAAGCTTTGACTCATGATTGCATTTTAAGTGTTTGACCCACGACTAAATGAGGATAGATTCGTGTTTTCAATAGGGACATGTACTTTCAAGTGATGTTAATTTACATACTATTTTTAATCTTCTTAATTGAGTTTATTTGTAGAAGGCTAATTGCTTCCTAGTTTAGCCTTATTGATGTTGAATGAGCTATCAATTTGTAGATCCACTTTTTTTAATTAATGGACTCTCTGTAGATTATTGATGAAACTTTAATCTATATTATAATTCTAAATCCCTTGTGGCATCTTTAATCTTTCTGACATAAGTGACTGAAAATCGTTGTTATTAGCATGATTTTACGATGAAATCCCTTACTATACACCAACACCAGTGCCCCTTGACTTGAGTGTCCCCTTTTTAGACAACCTTGTGTTTTTCTTAACGAACTCATTAAAATGACTCTTAATAAAGCTCTAATTAGTTGAAGCAAGTTCACATAGTTGTCTTAGCATTAGTGAGTTTTTTGGCAAAATTTAGTGCTCTAAACATTTTGATAAAGATGGCAATCAGTATAATTTTTCTCGATCAGAGAAGTCAAATTTCTTTAGATTATTATTATTGTTTGAGGATCTCTTAGAGCTTAGTACCTAGGTCAGATTAAGATGGTCTTGCTATTATTCCAATAGTGGTCGAAGGTTGTTTTAAGTCTAGTTAAATCTATTTGAATCTGAAGGTCTCAATCTCCTGTTAACCTAAAATATGAATTTGGAGTTTGAGGGTTACATTAGAAGTTGTCATAGGTCTTTTTTGTTTCAACATCTTATGAAATTAATCAATATTTTAATTTAATGAACCGTCAAGCATCTATTAATAATTTGATAAGTTGACTTAAAATAAATATTTATGCAAACTTAAATAATTTTAATAAATTGAGCATTTTTCATATTGATAATATGTTTAATTTTAGAAGCATGGGGTTTTGGGGT